GGAAGCATGTTGATAAATTGGAGAGGGTTCAGAGAAGAGCCACAAAAATGATTAAAAGATTAGAAACACGCCTTACAATGATAGACTTAAAGAGCTCAATCTATTTAGCTTAACAAAGAGAAGGTTAAGGGGTGACTTGATCATAGTTTATAAGTATCTACACGGGGAACAAATATTTAATAATGGGCTCTTCAATCTAGCAGAGAAAGATATAACACGATCCAATGGCTGGAAGTTAAAGCTACACAAATTCAGACTGGAAATAAGGCGTAAAATTTTAATGGTGAAAGTAATTAACCATTGGAACAATTTACCCAGAAGCAGAGCAGATTTCCCCCACACTGACAATTTTTAAACCAAGATTGGATGTTTTTCTAGAAGATATGCTCTAGGAATTATTTTGGAGAACTTCTACGTCCTGTATTATACAGGAAGTGATCCTAGATGAGTGGTGGGCAACCTGTGGCCCGCGGGCTGCAGGTTGCCCACCACTGTCCTAGATGATCACAGTGGTCCTTTCTGGCCTTGGAATCTACAAATCTAGGTGCACATAATGAAGAGAGGAGGGGACCCCAGTGTTCCTGTACCAATGCAGCCATACTAAAACTGTCTTCACGCTCTGAGCTCCAGGATGGGTGCTAGGGCTGACTTCAGCATTCAGGGCTCCAGAAAAGGTTTGCACAGAGATTTGTGCAGATTGTGGTCCCACTTGCCATACAGCAGTTTACAAGTGCACAGCTGCGCTGGGGGAAGCACAAACTACACCTTTAACTAACAGCAAGGGTGCTGGGTAAGCATTTCCAGTCCCATCATCCCTGTTGGCATTATGCCTGTACTTGGCTTATGGCCTGGGCTGCTTGTGAGATCACCCTCATGGGTTCATCACACTACCAAATTTCTCCCTTTCTTCCTTGGCTTTTTCAGCCAAAAATTGCAGCTTCCTCTTATACCAACTCCCATAGCTGCATGGCTGTCAAAGGGAGCTGTACTAGGTGTATTCCATTCGTGATGTGTTTGTGGGAAGAGGTGGGGAGTAAACTATGTGTATTATCCACATTGTGATTTTCCCTGGCTTAACTCAGTTAAGCAACTGATTGATGGATGTCACAGAGATGGAAGAACATACCTTCCTCTCTAATATCCCCGAATAGTTCATCTCTCACCTCCCTCCCAGAAAATGAATAATCTTCCAGTTTCCATCTGATCATAGAAAGATCCTCAATGCCAATCCCTCCCACATGCTGAGAAGTCTAAGGAGACACACATTCAATTCTTGTTCCCATTTCATCTTTGCCTTACCATTGAAGAGTATTTTCTCAGCTCTTTGTAACTAGATCTTTTCAGATAACACAAGCACCCCATAAGCTGTCAGATGGATACTCAGGAAGCCTTCCAAGAAGCCCTGAGAGAAGTGGTGGCTCATTTGAAGTGATTTCATACATTTGTAGATTTGAAGACTAGTAGGGACCATCATGATCACCTAGTCTGACCTTTTGCATAGGACAGACCAAAGAACCTCATCCAGTAACTTCTGCATCAAGTCCATAACTTTTCTTTGATAGCAGGTCTTTTAAAAAGACAACCTATCTTGATTTAAAGACTTGCAATGGATGCATTTGGATATGTCTGAGTAGGACAGTTTGTGAGCAGCTAATATAGGTTCACAGTATGAAAAAGGCTGAGAACCCCGTATCCTAGTTCAATTAAAGATTCAGTCATTTATTAAAAATAAATAAGTAAGCTGCTCTAAGCATTACCTTGTTCCTTTTTCATGGCAATTTGAAACACAACATGGCATACTCATTTTGTGTATTTCTAGCCAGTTTTAATATTAAAGTTTTAAATTCTACAACCTTTATATAAAATTTAGATGACAGTAAATGCCTTCAAAAGAGCAGTAAATTAGTCATGTGACATAAGTCAAATAGCATTTAAAAGAACTGAAAAATTCATGGTGATTAAAAAGAACACCCCTCAAAAAACCCCAAACCAAGAGTCAAGTTCACTAAATTCTCACATTATCTGCATCACTTCGATGCAAGTGGCATGGCTATTTGCAAATGTGGATAAAATCTGTGAGCAGTCATTTTTGCTGCAATGCCCTGATTTGCTCAGTGAGCAGTCATATTGATTTGAATTCTCTGATTTGAATGGATTACATTACTAGCATCACGATGGGGGGGAAGAGGGAAGAAACACAATCACTAGGAGATTCAGAGATAATCTGACATTACTAGCGGAGCTTGTTCAACAAAAGCCTGCCTAAGGATCAACTAACAAAATTGTGAATGTCTGTCAAGTTTAAATGTAGTTTCCTCCTGCGTCTGGCAGAAGAGAAAATGAATAGGTGCTCACTGCAGCGTCACTTAGAGAGCATGCATGCTCTCTTGTACAGTAACTCTGCTCAAAAATTATCATCAAAATGATTATGTAAGACATAACACTTAGAGTTCCATTGTCAGACAGTGGAAACCTCACACCTACAATGAGTAAGTGGATCCTAACTGCCATTTTATGAGTTAGTTCTGCATCGGCAAAGGTGGTGGTAATAAGAACTTGTTTTCTATTTTTTTAAAAATAGTTGTGAACATTGAGATTACTGAACTGTGCACTGATTGAAGCTGTTAGCTTCTCTTGTTGCTGAAGCTGTACAGACCACAAAACTTTCAAGAATAGACCTGGATGCAGTCTGTTTAAAGCTGACTGTGTGGAGAAATTCCATATCATCTTTGTATGTTGTTATCTTTAGCCTCAAAGTGATGAGAGTCTATAAGAAAGGTCCATACAATTTTTAGAACTAATAAAAGTTCATAGTTTAATTAGAGTAAAAAACATGTGCTTTAGGATCGGAAATTAATACCATCCTTAATACTATTTTTCAGAGTTGTTTTAATGACCATTGTGTAACTATGCATGTGGTTTTCTAATATAAATAATGTAGCCATTTTATTTTAATTTTTTAAAATATCACAAAGCCAGGTTCACCTGCTGAACTAATGACCTGAGAAATTTCAGGTTTACTGAGATTTGGAAACACTAGAAGACCTATGCTATAGCTCAGTGGTGTAACTAGGCATTTTAGCGCTCAGGGCGAGCAAGCATATTTGCGCCCCCTACCATTTTTCATCATTTTTACACCCCCCGCATCTTTGCGCCCTGGGCGGTTGCTCTGCTTGCCCCTCCCTGGTTATGACCCTGCTTAGCTAGACTCTTAATCATGTCTATAATACAGAACTTTAGCCCAATACTGTAGACTTTACCATATCAAGCCTCCCATAAAAACACACAGTGTGGTAGGCTACATTTAATTTACCATACACCTTTGATTATCTCACTCTTACTCTGCTCACTAATCCATCTCCTCTAGGGCTAACACTCCAAATCTCACAACAGCTTCAAATAGCCAACATTTAAAAACAAACAGCAAAAAACCTCCACATCACCCACAGCCACAAATATGCAGCTTTCAACAAAAAATTGTGACATGGCGATTTTCAAAAGTAACTACTCATTCTGAGTGCCCAATCTGAGATATCCTAAAGGGGCCTGCTTTTCAGAGGGCAGCACTTACTGCAGCATCCAAGCATCTGCAACTCTGGATCCACCTTGCTCTTTTTATCTAGTGAAAAAGTTGAGAGCACTTACGGTTTCTATTACCAAGATCAACAACAATCTCCTTGTAGAAGAGAAACCTACCACCTCCCCTAGAGCACACCATAATCCAGCTAGTACTTAAAAATGTCACTCAACACAACCAACCTCTTTGGGAGGATTTAGAGCTCCCCAGAGCCTCTAGCAGCAAACAAGGGTAAACCAATTACCACCCAGAAACCCAGCTCTCACTTCTGAGTATGCTAATTGAGAAGCTTGACAAAGGCCCTCCAACTCCATCTAGGTAGTGTCAATAACCTAGACCTTTCCCAGTAAGGCTTCAGGTTAGGACATGGAATAGAGACAGCACTGGTGGCAGCGATGGCTGGCATCCAAACTTATATTGTTGGATCTCTGCGCCACATTTGTTAAAGTTAACCATGGAATCATGCCTTTCCCCTCTCAGAGATGTGGCAGAGTTTAGCTGGATCACACTGAGGATATGTCTACACTAGGGTAAAACAAAAAATATTCTCACCAGCGCTACTACTAGGCCCAGTTGTATCAGGACTCTTATACCAGGGTGATAGGTGACTGCATTAAAAACAAAACAAAACAAAGTAGATAATCAGTATTAGCACTGCTGGGAGCCCTAGTGTAGACAAAATTCAAGCAATTTCTGGTATTTTAGCACCATGTCAATTTAACCTGCTTTTGATTTGAGAGGAGCTGCACAGGTCATGAATTTGGGTACAATCTGGAATTATGAAAAGAGTTTTAAGACTGTATGTATAACTCAGAAAAAAAGAGAGCGGACTATGATCAGAGGCCATGACACTTCAGAGTTAATATTGTAAAAGTAAAGAAGACGCTTGAGTTTAAGGTTAAGCACAAGGATAATGGCCTGAAACTAAGGTAGGAAAAATTTAAGTCACACATTAGGAAAACATTTCTTATCATAAGGATGATTAGATATTGGACTAATTTCCCAAAGGAAATTGTTGAGTCAAACACCAGAGGCTTTCAAAGGAAGACTAGATAAAAACACTCATGCAATTAATACAAAGGGCAACCCTGCACGAATGGCTCAAAAGGCCTCTTTCAAGTCATTTATGACTCTATTCTTAAAAAATCTGAATTGTGAACTTTTGTAGCATCATGTGAACAAAGAAGTAAATATGAAGTTTCCTACAGAAACAGAAAATACATTTAACTTTAAAACTATTGGTTTTATCCTCCACTGAGATTTTTTTCTGTGATACCAATGGCCTGCTTCTGTTAAAATGATATTATAACAATTCTATTTAAAAAAGATATTTCAGCCATTTATCAATGCAGTGACATTGGAAAGATAATTCAAACTACAAAAACATTTTATATCAAGAAAACAATGGTGTTTGTAAACTTGCCTTGTGAAACACAATGGACATCATGAAAAAATCCAGCAAGAAATTCTCTGAGATATCTCTGTAGTCAAATTGGAAGAAGATTACAGTAAAGCTCAAAGTAACAAATTGATGAACCGGATTACAGAATGAGGATCGGAGCAGCTTCATCCCAGCAATTGTTATCAGGAAAATATCACAGCTGTGGGAGTGAGGGAAAAGAAAACCTAATCAAGTTAACATAACAAAAACAATTAGACTATAACTAATGAACATGAATAACCATATCAGACCTACTCTCGATTGGTATGTCTATCTACACACATACCGTTAATTTATTTTTATATTAATACTAGTTTTTGTTTTAATAATCATGTTTATTTAATCCATCTGCAACAGCACAGTTTTACATTGCCAGCATTACATATCTCTGGAGAACTTACAGAGCTGTAACACGGGAACAATTCTGTATTATAAGAGTAGCATCCATTATTGTAGTAAGTACCTTATAACATAATAAAGATATAATTAAATAAAATCCCTAAAATAAATTTTCAACTTGTGACTTAAGTCTGGCACCATTAATTTATAGCACTACAATTTATACAGCTTTATATTAGAAAGCAGCCTGTTGCCAACTACAGGCAATAAGCCTGAATCACCATGTTATCCAACTTTAGGCTGGTGCAGTGATGAATCAAACCCAGTATTTGTAAAATGCTGAAAATAATCCTCCATGCCAATTACAAAACAACAGAATACTTGTGAAAGCATGTGGCAATTGACAGCTCAGAAAGTTCTAAATGGAGTGGTGCATTTTTGTCATTTTAAGGCTCACAGTTTGTGCAATTCCAATTTTTTTGTGTGTGTGTGGCATTCATTCACTGCATTTTTAATGCAGATCCAACTTTATTTGAGTTCAGGCCTAGTCATCACTGTCTGAATGAAATGCCAAAAGACCTCATTTCTTACCTTGTCAGAGATTCTTTCAATTTTATTTGGATTTCTGAGTGCAAAACTAGGGACTACAATAAAGTATTTGTGACCGTTTTAGAACACCCCCTCAGTGGGATGAGAACATTTGTTGGATTTGATGTTCATCAAGAAGAACAAAATTCTTGGGGCAGTGAGGAAGATTTTAATGGGGAGAGGCATAAAATCACAGAGCAACAACAGCAGCAACTGAAAGACCCTTTTCCTGATCAGGTCGATATTTATGCTCGCCTAATATTCACAAAATTTCAGGCAGAAAGGAGTTTTTTGAGCATATAATTTCTTGCTAGAGGATAAGGGAGCATTGCTTTCTGGTAATTCTCTCTCTTTAAAGATATTGCCACACAGGATTCTTTTGGGGGGGGAGGGGCGGGGAGGGGAAGGCTTGTCTTAACCTCCCAGTGGAAACATGGTACAACTGCCCTAGCTCAGAGTGATCTCTTTTTGTTGTTTAACCTCTTCAGGCAATGACAGTAGCAGGCAACATGGTAAGCTGCCCCAGACTGTCCAATATGCACCACCAACCACCACTCCCTTTGGTTCTAGAACATTCCAGTCAGTTTCTGACAGTGCCGGAAGCAAGGGCTCCAACCCCTGCTCATCATCCCTCCCCCCCCCACACACACACTCCCAAAACACACACAGAGCAATGCCATTTTTTAAATCACAAAAACAGATGCAATTAGAAAAGTCAAATACATCCAGCCAGATAAGAACAACAAGATGAAATTGCAAAAACACATTGCCTCAAAAAACATCCCTCCAAATTCTGAGGGGAGGTAGACAAGTGAATGAGAATCTTGCAAGATGATATCTTAAAAGTAGAATTACAGGCATGGAAAGTAACTTCCCCTTCTTTAAGCTACTGTATACATGACATTCTTCTTCCTGGAGAGTATGTAGCTAAGAACCGAGAGATAATACAGCCCTCTGTAATAAGAGGACTAAAGAAACAAAGAACCCAGGGCTGCCCTGCCTTAGCAGGAGATGATAGCCCTGCTGGCTGCTTTGCTGAGACTCTTTCAAGCCCTTCTGCCCTAGCAACCAGGTTTTGGTGCAGTTAAGCAGGTGTTGTTAACACCTAGCATGTCCAAACCCAGACAGAGATATTTGGTGCTGGGGTTGGCTCCTGCCCCCCTTTTTTGTCTCTCTCACCCTTCAACTAATTATCTCTGGAGGAAACGTGTTGGGAGTTGATTGGTGCCTGTCCCGCTCCGCTCAGATAATACAAGATTTTGGGACTGCTCTTCACTCGCCCTACTGCCTCTATCCTGATTCTTCCACACAGTTGCCCCAGGGGGCTTCATTTCAGATGTCATAACCAGGAACAATACTTTACCCTTGTTTGGTGCTAGAGGCTCTGGGGAGCCCTAAATCCTCCCAAAGAAACTTCTTAAAAAAGAATTATTTAAAAATATATATGTGGTACCCACATTCGGCAGTTTCTGCACTTCATCCTCACATATGTTTTGCAAAAGTCAGATAAAAACTGAAGGTAGGTAATTCTTCATCTCAATTTCTTGAGTGATACAAACTGATTTCAATTTTCAGATTACAAAGTCCAACTATGTTAACAAGTCATGATTTTATTGCAAGTCGTGCAATGTTTGGAATTTTTTTTCTTGTTCTTATGATGTGATTTCTGTATTCAGACTTGTGCAGTTTTGCCATTATCCCTTAACACTGAAGGTACTTAGCCACTGGAACAACTAACCTAGCGATCTAGTGGATTCCCCATCACTTGAAGGTAAAACTGGATGTCCTTCTAAAAGATGCTGTAGCTCAAACAGAAGTTATGGGTTTGGTGCAGAAATTATTGGACATGATTCTATGTAGTATTTTATGCAGGAGGTCAGACTAGATGATTATAACAGTCCCTTATGGCCTTAAAATCCACAACATTTAAATGGTCATCATCTCCCACTGCTTTCAATGGGAGCTGAGCCAGGCTGCCTTCAGGGACTAAGGGAGACCCCTTAGCAGGGCCGGCTCCAGCATTTCTGCCGCCCCAAGCAAAAAAAAATAAAAGCCGCGATCGCGATCGGCGGCGGTAATTGGAAAAAAAAAAAAGCCGCGATTGGCGACGGCAGTTCAGCGACAGGTCCTTCGGTCCTAGAAGGAGTGAGGGACCTGCCGCCCCCGAATTGCCGCAGGTGCCGCCCCTCTCCCTTGGCCGCCCCAAGCACCTGCTTGTTAAGCTGGTGCCTGGAGCCGGCCCTGCCCCTTAGTCATTAGGTGAGGGCAAGCAAGGATATAAGAGAATGGGGAGGCGCAAGTAATGAGAGTGTAGAGCAGCAGGACAGAAGACTGTGGTAGGATCATGAGGAGTCAGAGGAGCGTAGGGAGAATTAGGTAGACTGAGAGAGTTGCAGGGGATTATGAAATGCAAGAGGCTGACTGAAGAGGAGTGCAGAGAAATAAGCCAGGCTGAGGGGGTGGCTGGGAACATGGAGTGCAGGAGGAAAATGGGGTACCAGGAATGTGAAGGGTGGGAAACAGTGAGGGGAAAGGGAAGAAATACAGGGAGGCAAGTGAACATAGGGGCCATATGGGCAAGTGTGGAAGGAGAACATGTGTGGGGTAGCTGCCATTCTATCCCCCACTATCCTCCTCTCTAAGTATTCTGTCAAGTTAGGGAAGAGGCTAGGGAGGAATAGTGTGGCAGCTCTCCACACCAAATGGGATTAGAAAAAATGAGTCCTCTCTGAGCAACAGTCAGAACCTGCATTTTTAAGTGTGTCTTCAAAGGGTGAATTTAAAATCTGAGATGATCACGCCTACATTGGGGACTGGTGGCATTCCCCTAAAGGTTTAACTATCAGAAGGCAGACCCAAATATGATTATTTTTTAAAATCTCATGAATTGGGGGGGTCTGACTCATGATTTTTGAACAGTTGGGGTTGCAATTCTACTCTGAAAAGTTACTATGTAAAATAATATCTTCTTACTCAACACATCTGATCCTCCAGTGGGTTCAGAGATATATCTGCTGACAAGTGTCAAACTAACATTTGGCTACTTTTTAGTTCTGCTAGACCTACAGAACCACCACATCTACGAGGGTGAGCTGTATTACATTCCAGGTAAAATTTTCAAAACATGCCTAAGAAACTTAGAAGCTTAAATCCCATTGACATTCAATGAGACTCAGCTTCTTAAGTGCCTATGTCACTTCTGAAAATAGGTATTTTTTAAAATGTTGCCGTATGCTCCTGTACAAAAGTTGATATAGTTTGTTTAGAATGTAAGCTCTAATTTAGAATGCAAGCTCTTTAGGACCAGAACCCTCTTTTGGTATATGTCTGTACAGTCCGTAGAATCATGGGTCTGAGCCTCTACATGCTACTGTCAGAGAAATTATTATTATTAATAATAATTAATAACAAATAGTTTTTCACGACATCCAAGTTAAAAATAATCTGATTTAAAAAACTAACATCCAGACAATCTGGATACAGGAAAAATAACGCTCCATTTGTAATGGATCTTTGTTCCTGAACACAGGCCAGTTTTTTAACAAATTTAAATCACTATAGTACTGAAAAAGGCTGTGTACTAATTCTGCTCAGAGAGGGCATTGCAATCACTACAATACCACTGAATCTCACAGCAGTTTGTAGGTCATCAAGCAAAAATTGACACCACAAAAGGCTCTCTTCGAAGAACGTATTATAATACTGTGGATCAGCAACATTTAGTTCTAATTACAGTCACAGAGGTTAGACATGGAAAAACCTTATATTGTTTTCCTGATCATATCCCTGCTAATTCAGGACAGTTCTGCACTCTACATTCTTGAAGGCTTTGTCCAACCTAGCCTTCAATGACTCTAGTAATGAGGCCTGTGATACCTCCTCTGAGAGACTTTTCCACAGTCTAATAAACTTTACAGTTCCCTGATATCCAACCTAGATTTCTCATTTCATCTCATTAATCCTGGTTACTCCCAAGGTGTTTACACCCTTTGAACACCTGCAGACTGGTATAATATCGCCTGGTTTTAGCTGTCATTTGGGCATGCTATACATATTTAGTTTTTTAATCTCTCTATATAAATTTAAATCTCTCTAGCCTCAATCATGTTTGCTGCAGCACCAACAGCATCTCCTTTATCATATTTTAAGACAGTTTGAATTGTCCTTTAACAGAGCCAATAAGGATAGCATTTTGTATTTATTGTTATTCATTAATAGCACAAAACCAAATTGTGACAAATAACCAGACTCATTTACGCAACATTAAACTTCATAAAAAAAACATAAGAATGGCCATACTGGGTCAGACCAGTGGCCCATGTAGCCCAAGATCCTGTCTTCCGACAATGGCCAGTGCCAGACGTCTCAGAGGGAATAAACAGAAAAGAGCAATTATCGAATGATTCAGGCCCTTGTCATTCAGTCCCCAGCTTCTGGCAGTCAGAGGTTTAGGGACACACAGACCATGGGGTTGTGTCCCTGACCATCTTGGCTAATAGCCATTGATGGACCTATACGCCATGAGCTTCATCTTTTGAACATTCGTCTGAATGTGAGCAGTCTTAAATCTATGAATCACATACTATGAACTATAATCAACTTACTGTGTACCAAGTCTCTTGTATTTACTAATTGAAAAAGCATCAATGGTGAGGGCATTCAATATTATTGCTGGATACAAGATGTATTTCTCAAAACATTGAAGCCACACATAGAGTCTTTCAAACCACATTAAATGAGCAGCATCTGAAATAAAAACCCAGATAACAGACCATTTTGTCAAATTATTATTTTTTTCACCATATAAATACTGTATAAACAATAAATGCATTAATGTCAAAAGGACAAATCATCAGTTTGTATATCATACTAGTTAATATACCCACTAATTTATGACACTTCATGTAATCCATAATTCTTTTGCCATATAGCAATCATGTTGTTCTCTGGGTCTGGCCAATATTTATACATTACATACTTTGCTTCTTTTTGCTGCACATATAGTAGCTGAAATTGTACATACTAAAGGATAGATCCTGCTAAATTTTTAGAAGTAAAACATGACATGATATTAATAAACATATTTGTTGTTCATCACTTTAATTACTTTTCTTACTTACAATATTTTATTTATTAAAGAATATTTATAATTAACTAACACCTTTCATGTGACCTAGTGGGGAAGCTGTGTGACCAAGTGGAGAGAGCACTAAATGAAGACTCCAGAAACCTGGATTTCTATTCCCAGCTCTGTCACTGGCCTGCTCGATGATCTTGGCTAAGTCATGTCCCCTCTCTGTACCTCAGTTTCCCCATCTGTAAAATGGGGATAATGATTTGTCAAACTTTGTAAAGTGTTTTGAGATCTAAGGATAAAAAGCACTATAAAAGAGCTAGGGATTATTATCCCAAAAGACCCAAAAATACTTTACAAAGAAACTATTATATAGGTAAATACAGTCTTTTAACAGTGCACAACAATATTATTCAGCAGTCAGACAGGACATGACTACTGTATCCAGTTGAAATTGCAGGGAGAAATTAGGCAGGCAGAGTGAAGTTTCCTGAGTAACACCTGTATTCTTGCAAAAGTGACAGGAATTCTTTAATGAGCACAAATAGTTCAGGTCATCTGAAAAACAGTATTTGCAACTGCAAAGTGCACCATACTGGAGTATTGGTTCAGTACTGACTCAAAGATAAGAACCACCTGCTGAACTACCAACACCCCTTCCTACAGCAAGAAGAATAAAATAAGCTATTTCAGCAATATGATGGTGAGAAACAAGAGGACACAGTGAATCAAGATTCCGTTGTACCATATGTTCAATAGATACAAGCAGAAAAGTCAGGAACCAATTCTTCCAAATTACCTTAATTCATGGACCTATGATATCTTTGGTTGAGGTAACAGGCTTTCAAAAAGCTGTACATGAATTTCTGAGACTCAATATCCTTCACTCTTTATAGCTTAAAGTATTTCCTCTTATTACTGTCTATGGCTCTGATGCCAGGCTTTTTCAAAGCTTTAATTAAAAATATGATTCACATTTCAAAATCAAGCTTTTTTGCCTCCAAAGTAGCAGGTAGAAATGACCATGGCAATGCTGTGAGGGACCTGTTTTCACAACCATTTTTCATACATTCTAAATTCAATACATTCTGGGTACACTTCTGCAATAATTAAAGCAATACAGACTAGATGAACAACATAGGAAATAGAGAATATAGAAGAATCTGAAAATGCCTTGACTCCTGATTGTACCAGGGAGCTGTTCGTCTGAGTGATACAAGTGATCCCAAAGTATGAGCTGAACCATCAATGCAGATCAGTCAAAGTGTGAAGTGGATTTGTCTGGTATATCTCTACTCTCAGCCTTTTTAAAAGCTGAGCCATTACCTTTACGAAAATTATGTTTTTCCAATGAATGAAGACAGACCTAATGGGGATAAGGGAAGAAATCCTATGTTCTTCTATGATTAAACTCATGCAAAAGACAACAAAGCCAGGATATTCACAAGAGTTGCTCATTATCAAGCAAAGGAAGCATTTTAAAACAATGACTTTCAGCTGGAATACAAATCATTAATAAGATTTACATTTCCAGTACACTTTCCTTGGTATTTTGTGGTAACAGTTAAAAGGCAACCTTCAATCAAATCTCTTGGGTACTTTTTGGTACACAGGTTTTGTTTTGAAGACATGATTTTTCAGAGAGGTTTAAATCCTTAATGTATGGCAAATGCATGATTTTGCAGGGGATGAGCAGAACCCTTTTGTTGTCTAGTTTGAAGAACAGGATACTGAAGTCCTGCAGCAGACTGTGCTCTGACATTATTGTTTTCAAGCACCTCAAGAACATAGTTTGAGAATGATCCATCAAGATATGACAAGCAAGTTTCCAGCTGGGAGCAAAGAGAAGATGACAGCTGAAAAAAGAATTCAAGTAGTTTGCTGAAATAAAAAAACTTCAGGAGAACTAGAAATTAGCCTCGGAGATTCTAAAATATTTACAGATATTCCTACATACCAAGGCAGCACCTGCTGAAGCCAGTAGTTATTAATAAGACCAAATTATCAATGAAGTTACATTGTTTCATTCAGCTTTAGTGATTCTCTTGAGATATTATGCAGGAAACGAAAGTTACAGACTTCAGTAACCATGCCGCTCAAATTTTAAACATTCAAAAGTCAAAGTAAATATAATTCTGCCTCAATTTCTTAAACAGGAAAATCTATTTAGCAAATACAATTCACTTTTAAACACAGATGTCTTAAACACAGAGTACAGCATATCAAACTGCACACAATATGTAACAGAGGTTGTAATGTAATTGTACTGTAACAGAGGGTTAAACGCTACAGTACAGTGTTCTCAAAATATAGCTAATGCAGGTGTACAGATCAATTGGTGATTATAAATAGAAAGCCCAGCTAGTAGGTGAGGTAAATGTTATTGGTAAAGGGACTTCTCTGTGCTATATTCTCTCTTACAGGGGTCTATATGGATAACCACTAAGGCTTATATTGACAGAGCGAACACAATGGCTAAACATCACTGATACAACATTCTGTGTTCTTGCTTTTAACTTGATTTTGTTACATTTTTTAAAAATGAGAAATGCCATTTTAAAAAGAACTCTTCCCCTGCATTGTTTCATTGCTATATTTTCAGTAAATCCCCATTGCCACAGATGCCAGGGAAAGACATTATTTTAGCCTTATTACTTCTGCTAGCAGAATATTATGCCCTGCAGAAATACAGTGGAAACTATGTCTGTCATTAAGAAGTTTATATATAAAGTTTTTATCATTAATAATTTGAACATTCCCTAAAGGGCATGGGTATTAAAAAGAGAAGGGTTATTTTTATTTTCTCTATATCATGTAAAATGGCTATAAACTTCAGTACAAATATTAGGCTGTCCCTCAGTTTACATAACCCTGGATTAGGCCATCGGTCACTTGACTCATACACAGTAGCTCAATGTGATGCAAGGTGAAGGAGGTCTTTGAGCTTTCATCTTCCCTTCTATCATCTGTGTAAAACTGGGATAATACTGGCCTCCTTTGAAAAGTGGTTTGAGATCTACTGATGAAAAGCACTATAGAAGAGCTACGTATTATTATCATTATATTTGATATGTCCTCCATTTCCATACATAACATTCCCCTTTTCCACAATCTAAAAATTACACCAAGGGTAAAACAACTTGCATTTTACACCAAGTGTAAAAAAGAAGTTAGGACGTTTAATAAACAGGGATAAATATCCACTTGGGATTGCACGGAAATCTATTTTGCCCAGTAAATAAATTCAGATTTGAATCCAGGCCTACAAAGGTGAAACGTTTGAACATTCATGTGCAATTCTATCTACATTTTTCACAAGGGAAGGAGTAACTCAGATTTAAGCCAGAGTCATGAATAAATATTAGATGGGCTAGCAGCCCAGTTACCAATAATCTAAAGAAAAAGTCTAAGATTCTTCTCACCATTATATTCCAGCACTTTGAAGTTCTGGTCAGAGGTATGTTGTGATGTTATTGACATAAACTGTGGCCGTATAGATCTTTGTTGCAACCAGGGTCCTATGGCTGCACCAGGTCTTGTACAGAGGAGACCAAGTGGGGTGTCTATGGAAAGGTTGTAGTTTGCTGGTTATGATTATGCTGTCTGTATGTTTGTATCATATTTGTATTTGAAGTTATGAATATTGGCTATGTACTTGTTTGATTCTAAGTAGCCACAGTGAAGCATTTCGTCAGCTTCTTGAGAAAGAACTATTCTCAGTAAGTGCCCAATCAAGAAACACTTAACTGACAATGGACTTTGGGAGACGCCAATCCACATCTGAGCTTTCCTGAGAACGTTCAAACTAACATGTAAACAATGATATTGGCCTGCAAAAAGCTGAATCATCCATAGACATGTGACTTGCCCAGGTGGCTACAGACTCCATCTTGTTGCTGTGATCATGCACAGGAGAACAAAGGGGTTTCTGCCCACAAGAGAGAGAATATAAAAGGCCCTGGAAACCCCTCCATTTTGTCTTCAGCTGGCTGAAAAGATAGCCTCTCCACCCCAAAGAGATGCCTGAAAGAACCTGGAACAAAGGACAGTAACTATGGGGGTGTGTGAGTGATTGCTGGACCCAGAGTAAGAAGGAGTCTAGTCTATGAAAGAAGCTTATTGGAACATCTCTGAGGGTAAGATTTACCTGCATTTAGTTTCCTACTGTATTTGGCTTAGACTTGCATGTTTTTGTTTTATTTTGCTTGGTAATTTACTTTGTTCTGTCTGTTATTACTTGGAACCACTTAAATCCTACTTTTTATACTTAATAAAATCACTTTTTGCTTATTAAATTGACCCAGAGTAAGTAATTAATTCCTGGGGGAGCAAACAACTGTGCATCTCTCTCTATCAGTGTTATAGAGGGCGAACAATTATGAGTTTACCCTGTATAATCTGTATAATCAGAGTAAAACGGCTTTATTTGGGATTTGGATCCCATTGGGAACTGGGTGTCTGGGTGCTAGAGACAGGAGCACTTCTTAAGCTGTTTTCAGTTAAGCCTGCAGCTTTTGGGGGATGTGGTTCAGACCTGGGTCTGTGTTTGTAGCAGGCTAGCGTGTCTGGCTCAACAAGACAGGGTACTGAAGTCCCAAGCTGCCAGGGAAAACAGGCTCAGAGGTAGTCTCAGTACATCGGGTGGCAATTCCAAGGGGGTCTCTGTGACCCAACCCGTCACATACATGAAAGCTGATGTTTAAGGGAAAGGAGCCCATAATAAGGAATAATCTTATTTTGTAGGGGGAAATCTGTTTAGGGCCCCAGTGGATTTCCTGGACACTTTGGTGGTTGGCGGCAGGGACAGAGGATGTGAAGTGTAAGTAGGCACTAGCACTTCAAATAATAAATAAAAGGGGAGAGAAGGAGCAACAAAGATACAAAGGGAAAAAGTTGTTTCATGCAGAACTAAATTCCAAGTCTAAGTGTGGTAATGGGGTAGGGAGCTGAAATGTTTAGACACATTTTAAATGTGAATCAAAATGTTCCACTCTTCAGTTTAACTCCTATCCTGCTGCACCTGAAGTCAAGTGGAGTTTACCTACTCACTTCCATGAATTCAGGGCTTGCTTTTCTACATTAGAAATAACACTTCCCTCCTGCTGGAAGACTGTCTGGGGACTGGAGAACTATGGGATAATGAAATCCCAATAGGTAGGGGTTGCAGCGGCAGTTTTGCTAGACCTCACTTAAGACAGGAAGGGATGTTTACACAGACAGTTTAAAATTCTTTGGGCTTGAATTTTTTTGCTAAAATTGGATAATTTTAGCAGAAAGCTCTGCATGAAAGATTCAAACCCACCCACCTCTACAATGAAAAGTGGAAAAGTTGCAGTTGGCCTTTCTACCTATTATGATGTCACTATATTCACTTCCGTTCTTCCAGTCCCTGAGAGAGTGCCATCCAAAAGAAATAGAAATCAAAACTTGATACTCCTAATATTTCTAAGTAAAACATGAAAAAAGAAAACTCATTTTGGGAAAAAATGGTCGTCTTTAAACATCGCAATGGACATAAGCAAGAATATTTTTTCTTTAAAAACAAGACAAACTAAAGGCAACATCAACCAACATTCTGACAATATTTATTACAAACCTCTCACTTCCCGCTGATGATATTCTTTGTTTTTAAGTATGGGGTGTGAAATCCACAGCCAAGGATGATGCTTGCGGAGCTGAGGAAGTATGTAATGTGTTACGAATCCCACAGTCCATGCTAAAGCAAACAGCACAATGCTGAGAAATGGCTGAGCCAAAGGAGGAAAATAATGGAATCACATTTACAAATAGTATTTTATAGACACACAATATTTTTAATGTACAACAATTTAATCTTCCTTATACATTTGCAAGAAATATTGATTCTTATATAAAAAGCATCAAAGACTACAGGTGGGAAGCAGATGTGGGGCTCAGGAAATGAAAGCAACAACCTTTGTTCTTTTTCAAAATGTACTTTACACACACATTTAACTAGTATTGTAACTGAAAATAAAAAAGCTAAATTGGTCGGGTTTATGTAAGAATCCCTCTTCCAACAGCTTCTATGTCATAAAAAAAGACTAGTATAAAGCAAAGGTTTAGGGAAAACAATTACTAAATGCATTAAATTGTGCCTAATATAAATATCTATAACTGATTTGCAGTGTATATCAAAAGCCTTGAAATTATCTTTGCCATTAAATAATTTTTCCTTAACTCTTCTCTTCACAGCTCCTCTCTATTCTTAGCCATGTAGTTTTGCATAATAGAGATGATATCTTAGGGGGAAAATATTTAAAAGGAGGGGATTATAATACATACCCTTAATGACAGAAACACAGTGCTGGCGCTGACTGCAAATGATAGAACAGCAGCCACTGTGCAGACAATGAGATCGGATTTCAAGATTTCCTTCTGTGAATATAATTTTTTTAAAATACAAAATTATCAAGTGAATACTATTTTAACTGGATAAATTACATTACTCCATTATGAATTACTAATAGTTTGCATTGTGATGACATTAGTCATTGTTTTATAATATATAAATATATTTTAATGTAAAGGTATTTTCTGCAATATGCTTTGCAAAATTATTTCCCCACATGCTACGTTTGTTAAAAAGACCCTGTCAATCATATTAAAATTTTATTAAAATTCATTTAAAAACATATTTTGTAAACATTGTTTAAGTATCCCATGTTACAATTAAAACTAAACTAAAACTAAAATGGTTTTACATTAAATTTGTGTCTCCGTTTATGCAATGGTATTTGTGGGGTTTTCTGTATTTCTGTTTTCAGAAGTGGGCCTATCTCTAGTATTATGTAATGATAATGAAAGATAAGAATCTACCTTCAAGTAAAGAACTATAACTGGGCTGGAGTAATTGTGTTTTGGAGATATAGGAAAATATGTTCTTCCTAACCCATTTTTCTTGTGATTAAAATATCATCGTGAATAAACAAATTAACAAGGTAGTTTTTGAGCTATGTGAATTTTTGAACCATTGTATTTTAGAGCTTACAGAAATGTCTTTGGTTAGCAAATCAATAACTTGGCTTAGACTTATGACTAGACATATTACAGAGGGTTAGCAGTACTTAACACTGGAAGCAAATGCAGGTGCTGACTGGCATAAACTGAATGCCTGCTGCTAGATATTTATCTAGATACTGACTTGTAGTGCTTTAATTTAAAGACTCCTAGAAACCTGGGATACAACAAAATTTCACTTAAAAGAAAACCTCATCTGATTCAAGATGTTACTGTGACTGTGTACCCAGCCCCAATAGCCAGCCTAGCCAACAAGTGTTTCTGTGGGGAGGAGGAAGAAAACATAAAATAATGATAGGATAACAGACCCAACAACAGGGAGATAAAAATGAAACAGATGTAGGAGACAACACTTGACCAACAAATTTTAAAGTATAGGGGGAGCTATCAGTGACCACTATATTTCGGATGCTTAATTTCGGTTATCAAAAGATGATTGCGACCTGTTTCTGAGAACACTAACACTTACACTGTTTATAGCAGGCCTTTGAAATTCAGCTGGACTAAAGCCCTTAGGCTTGAGGAGTGCCTTTTCTGTATCCCATAAAACTCCACTCAGGTTTAGCTGAAATATAAAGTGTTAATTGTCCTTTTCCTTCCCTGGCTTGTGTGCCTCAGGAAATTTTTGGCAGACTGCCAAAGTATTAATGGACTGTGAACATTCTAAAGAACTAGATCCAAACCACTGCCAAAGCAGCAGCACCAAAACCACCATATACATGTTCTGGCAATGTAAGGAAGCCAGAAGGAGTGTGAGCAGAGCTGGTGCAGCCTTCCAACCAACACCCTGCCTGCCTGGACTCAGCACATGGCTCCAGTGGCCATACCCACCTCTGAAGACACCACATCAGACAGAAGCATCCCAACTCAAGGGGATAGAGTGAAAGAGAAACAGGCCAGGCCAGCCCCTCACCATCAACTAACTCCTGATCTCCTACCTGGTCCTGCCCCAGTGGCCCATTCCCACCCATAGGATAACAGCCTTCTCCTTCCACCAGCTAATGTAGTTAGCCTGTAGCTCAAGTGGTAGCAGCTGTGCATCAGTACTGAAAGTTCAGGGTTGAAACCCTAATGATGATGCACATAATGGAATTTATTTTTACCTTTTTTTCCTTATTAAAAATCCTAGGAAATTACATACTAAAAACTACATTAAAATAATGTTATTTAGGTTGCAAAGTTAAGCACTTGAAAGCTAGGAAATGCTAGATTTATGGTTGCCTGTACAACCTTAATTTAGCCCTGCTGGGTATATGCATTATAATATAATATAATATAATATAATCTTTAATTACATGATCACATACCATTCTCAGTAATGACAACTTCAAGCATTCAAAAATTGCGAGTCAGGCCCCAAAGAAATCATGAGGTTGGCTAAAAATTAATAAATGTACTCGGGTCATGTTTTCAAAGCTAGACTGAAGGATAGAAACTTACTATTTTAAAAATGAAAGCTGATATTCTCATGTAATCATATGCCTCCCAGAGCTGGGGTTTTAAGAAAAACATCACATATCATGATATTTGCAACAAGATGATGAGAGTTGGTGAGAGTAAATAAAACACTGCACATTTTCCACAAGACCCCATGCACAGGGGGGTGTACAGAATGGATGCCAAAGCAGGCTGAATTAAGGTTGGACGGGGCCATGATTTCCTAACTTTCTAGTCCTTGACTTTGCAACCTGACATGTTTTTAATGTAATGTTTGATACACGTTATGTGTGAAAGGCTTGACCTCTGACCCTAGTAAAAATTCAATAGTGAAATAATCACTACCATTGGGATTGTTTTTAAGTTTTGGGTAAAAACAGATCATGCAGACAAAGACTCAACATCACCCATCCACCATTCTATCAAAGAAATATTTCTTTATTTTTAAAAGGCTATTCTGGATACCTCCTGCTTGAGAGAATAAACAGGAAAACATGCTGTAATTTTTTTCTTCTTGTTTTAAATTATACATTGGGAGCTTTGTATAAATCCTTTTACTAGCTATCTGACTGTTTGTACTAAAGGCCAGGAAGGAAGTTGAGTTTGAATGTAACACATTAACACCCTCAGGCTACTGGTTAATGTAGTAATCAACCGTGGGGATGCCTATAGAAATTAATTATAATGCTAGGAAGCTCCATTCTCAAAGTTGAATGGTCAATTATCCATGACAGCTGTTTTGTAATTCCAGTTTCCAAAGCTGACAATTCTTACATAGCCATTCGAGCAGAGAAAAAATAGTAAAGGTCATATAGCTAAACATTACAAATGCTATATTGATTACTACTAACATGAATATGAAGTCATTATACAACACAACAGATTTATTTTAATATTTAAAACCTATTTGCTTTCATCTTGGGAGGTGAACCAGTTATTTATATCTTAAATGTATTGATTAAAAAGGTGCTAATTTAGCCTGAATATTATGCATGCTTTATACATAGGTGAATAGGCCAGTGGACACTGGACATTTTGTTGCACTTTGCCATCTTATACAGTTGACAGTGGAAGAAAAAGCTTGTTTGGGCCATTACACAGGGGCATGCTGAGGGAAACAAAAGGGGGAAGGATATGCTATTAAAATTTCTCCTTCTGGTCCTCATGTAACAGTGTACCCAATTCCCAGATTGATCAAAGTTCTTCTTACAGAGGATCTGAAAGCTATTTTTAGTTTGCTTTTGAAAATTAATCAAAACCAGAGCTGGTTACGATAGCACACTCCCTTAACTATAATGGAATAAGATCAGAATGGATTGTTGTTTGAATGTTTCCCTCAAATATGATGCACATATCTTTTTAGCTGTCTACACTCACCAATTTGCTATACTGGCATTGCACTGTGAGGAAAAATTGTGGCGAACTTACTTAACTTGGCTCAACTATTTATTAAGACATAGGTGCCAGCCACTAAAGGGTTTAGGCAGAGCATGTATTAAACTACAATCGCAGTCTCCTCTTCAGGGAGTACTATCTGGGTCCCAGCATGGAAGAGTTAGCACTACATAAACCAATTTAGACTTGTGCACATCTGCTTACATTAATATATAAACTGGAGGAAACCCAAACACAGGAAGAAAGGAAGGTACAGCATTAGGAGGCCCTTGTAGCAGCCAGTAAAAACAGCCTGTGTTTCTGGAAAACTACGTGAGATGTCAAACGTGTGTAGCAGAAATGTGCAGCTGACAAGCACCATGTGAAACCAATTCCCTGGCAGAAAAGAGCACCAAGAAACAAATTCAACCACGAAAAGGGACCAAGACACAAAGGCCCTGTCTATATTACCAGTATAGCCATGCCAGAGCACTACAGTGGAACACAGTTATCCACTTTTCCTAGTTACATGGTTCCAGTCTGCAATATAGTCAGGACCTTAACTGTGTTTTTAACCAGATCCTCATCTGCACTCTGAAATGAAATTATTGTAACCAGTTCAAGGGACGGCCATATTGTTAACTGGGTCAGTCTCCTGACATGGTTCAACTTGTAGAATAGATGAGGTCGGACTGTACACTTGCCTTAGGCAATGAGCAATAAGTGGAAGGGATGTGTGGGTTATAAAATCAGAAGTAAATTATGCCTCCCACTATACCTACAATACAGTCAACCAGTTCATAGAAATCAATTGACAGTGGATTGTGCCCATAAGCTACATACCAAAAACACCAGAGCATGTAGCCATGCTTTATAATAAACATTTTATATCTTTGCTTAGAAGCCTCCCTCCATTAATAGCCAGACCTCTACTATGCACTTTAACCAAGTAAAATAATTAAGTTTAACAGAAGATGTGGCTTTTACACCAAGCAATAAAGTAGCGTATTTTCCATGCACTCCTTAAACACTACTTACTCCCACAGATACTTACACTTTAGGGATTATCTAGCTCCCCAGTGCTTTGAGGTGGCCATTATGGATGCTGTGCTGAGGAGAAGGAAAGGTTTCTAGAAGCAGGGCAATTCAGAACTTTTGGAAGGAATTAGCCACACCTTAACCCTTCTGGGAACCCCATCTTTGACCAGCCTGAACTCCTGAGGTATCCACCTTCCCCTGGGGACCAGTCACCAATACTTTCCTAAGGCCATGTCTACAGTGGCAGAGTTTTTTCGCCGAAAGTTTTGTCAATGATCAAAAAGCGCTAAAAGAAAATGGTTGCTGCATGTTCACACTGTCTTCCTCTGTCGGCAGAGCGCATCCACACTTGAGGCAGTAGCGTCGACACTTGAGCATAGTTAAGGGATTCCACATGGGTGGATTGCAGGTTTCCAGTACATAAAATAAATAATTTTAAAAAGCCTTACCACTGACTCTCTCATCTTCTCTGGGAGTGCATCTGTTGATGAATCTCTCAAATTTTGACGTAGAAAGTGAGGAAAAAATTTACATTGAATAAGGGACCTATTACAAAAAACATTTGTTAGAATACTTCGGAATAACCGCTTTTCAGCTAATGGGGTTATATGCCCTTAGACATTTTAGAGCCCAACTTTACCCTTACATACGCAGTAACTATTCTACTGCTGCATAGCAGGGGATTGCTATAGAAAAGCTGAAAAGCTGACCAGGGCAGTGTCAGCTTCCTCACCGATAAGGAAGTGTAGTCTAGAATCAGCACAGTAGCATTAATTGGAAAGGGACCATGTGAGAGGGTAGTTCAGTTCCATGCCCTTTCTAATCTTTGACCACTACTGAGAATGCTGGCAAGGGGGTTCTTTTGTGCCACTTCTGATGTCAAACACTGATATTACAAATAGGGTGACCAGATGACCCGATTTTATAGGGACAGTCCCGATACTTGGGGCTTTTTCTTATACAGGTTCCAATTACTCCCCACCCCGTCCCAATTTTTCACACTTCCTATCTGGTCATCCTAATTACAAAGGGCAAAATGCTCACCTCAATATAAATTACATGTTCATCCTCATTTTAGTTTTACACAACACCTTCTCCTTCATCTTAAAATTTATGCTGTAGGCCATTCCTTAAATACTGTTTCCAATCCCCTAAACTCCATTTAGTTAAATTCAGAGTCATTACAAAATATCTTAAACCTCTTTTTGGGGATTATACATTTTAATCATGATTATTCAATGAATACTTGATGTTGTTGTAGAATCAGAAACTCATATTTTAATCTCAAACAAGACATTTAACAACCATTTGAACTGCTGAGAATTTGATTAAGGTCGTTAGGGGATTAGAAACTAGATTTAAAAGGTGGCCAAGCAATGAATTCAAGGATTCAAAACACCTTATTTAAAACAAAAGATACGAGTTTTTGTTTAATTAAAGACATTAATGGACTGGGAATTATATCCTGAAGAAAATACACATTTAAAATCTAAAGAACTCATTCTTGAGTGCTTATTTGGTATTTTTCTGTGTGTATTTTACACAAGAACTGATAGTACTTCACCCCACAACCATTTCTGTATTCTATAGCATCCTGTAGAATGAGTTATATGTCACTCGTAGTGGACCTGATCCAGAGCCCATTGAAATAAATGGAAAGATTCAATGGGTTTTGGATTAGGCTCCAGGAGAGTAAGTGGAAGCACTTCTTACTGCACTTCCACCTCAGACAGAATACAGCAGGGATCATGAGGATGACAGGATTTACATAAACCACACTGAAGAACTTAAGAATTTCAGTTCATGCCACAGGTCCTTTTCACCTTCCTTCCCATTCCTGTTTCCTCCTCTGCATATAATAACTCCCCATTGTCTCCCTCAGAATTACCTGGCTCTCTCTGTGAATGCCCGAAAAAGGCCCACACCAAGATGGCATGGGGTCACATGTTTCTAGTTGCATCTCTGCTTCTGTCAGCCCAACCTTCAGATCACCATGTTGCTTGTTCTACACTGGTTCTTCACTGTCCCTGGACTCAGCTTTAAATGCTTACTACCTTGAAGAGCAGTTAACATCAGTGGAGAGGCAAAGGTGATGGAACTGACACTAGAAAAGAGTTGTGATCAGGTCGTGCACCCCAAGGGTCAGAAACTCTTCCTCTTGCTTCTTAAGTGCTTCCTAATGCATCTCCCCAAACCCTGATAATTAACCTGTCCCCAGGTGGCATCCATTGGGGATTAACTAGTTCCATAAGGGTTAATCATATAATTCCCAGACAGCAAAATCTGACCCAAAGAACTTAGTACTGATGAAAGGTACTAGATTTATTGCCCAGGTGGTTGAAGCCCTTTATTCATTTACCGAACTGGTACACCATGGGCAGCAGGTGTGAACACTTCCCATTTCATCAAAGTACTTTGGGTACCTAGTGATGAGAAATTGAATCGTTTGGTTTCTGTTTATTCATTCATTGTTCTTTCTGCTGAGACAACTGACAGCGGCACCATTTAGTGACAAATCTGATGATAGTTTTGCAATGGAGACAGCTGGCTACTGGAATGGACCAAGACCAAAATATATTTCATACAAGCTACCAAACTAATGACACTATCTTTCAGCCACTGACAGCAGTCTTTGGCCATGATCCAGCAAATGCTTCACTTTACTATTGTACATCATCTCATTGATTTCAATGGGACTACTCATGGTAGTACACTTAAGCACATACATAAACGTTTTCAGGATCAGTACCTTATTTTGTACCATTTATCTAGAGGTAAATGTGTATCTTATTGCTAGTCCTTGAGATATCCAGTCCCTCTCAAAAAAGAGTGTTTTCTAAAACACTGGTATAATAACCATAAAAGCCCTCCTTTATCATACTTTTTCAGTATGTTTCTTTCCACTGAGACCCAAGTTTACACAACCAACTTTGTTAGAAGATGCCTTAAGTCACCGAATTCAGAAATCACCATCTCCAGACTTAAATATCACCCTGTGCAAGTTATAGTTTACATGCCATACAATATAACCAATAAAAAAAAGTTTACTGACAACTTACATAAGTACAGATGGATCACTGCTTTGCCTGCTAAGATGATAAGAAAGTGCAACTAAAAGGCCACAGAAAGCAGAGAACAGTGCTGGAATGTGTCGAGCATCCCATGGTTCCTAATGGGAAGGACAAAAAGCAGAATACTTTTATGTTAGGAATGCAAAACTTACTTTTTAAAGGAAGCTAAATCCTACATACAGTGCTAGATCTACAGTACTCAATACATCATATATCAAGGAGTTATAGTTCTATCATATCACAATCTATTATTGTGAGAATGGCTGAGATGTTACAGACATACTTTAGAATTACACAAACTATATACAAAAATATCTCCATAATCAGCAATTAGAAAAGAAACTGGAAAACACATGAAAAGCAGATTTCTCCCCCTCTAAATAAACACCAGAGGCCAAATTTATAATCCTCATTAAAAGAACAAATTAGAAATGTGAGTAAAATAAATTGCATTTTATTTGCTAAGCCTTAAAATCAAAGGTAGTTTACTCGACCTTTGGCAAGCTCTCTCAATAGCCTGCATAAAATCATAGAAAATTAGGGCTGGAAGAGACCTCAGGAGATAATCTAGTCCAACCCCCTGCTCAAAGCAGGACCAACCCCAACTAAATCATCCCAACCAGGGTTTTGTCAAGCTGGGCCTTAAAAACCTCTAAGGATGGAGATTCCACCACCTCCCTAGGTAACCCATTCCAGTGCTTCACCACCCTCCTAGTGAAATAGTTTTTCCTAATATCCAACCTAGACCTCCCCCACTACAACTTGAGACCATTGCTCCTTGTTCTGTCACCTGACACCACTGAGAACAGCCTAGCTCCATCTTCTCTGGAACCCCCCTTCAGGTAGTTGAAGGCTGCTATCAAATCCCCCCTCACTCTTCTCTTTTGCAGACTTCTCCTCGTAAGTCATGTGCCCCAGCCCCCTAATCATTTTCATTGCCCTCCGTTGGTCTCTCTCCAATTTGTCCACATCCTTTCGAGGGGGGTGGGGTGGGGGCGCAAAACTGGATGCAATACTCCAGATGTGGCCTCACCAGTGCCAAATAGAGGGGAATAATCACTTCCCTCAATCTGCTGGCAATGCTCCTACTAATGCAGCCCAATATGCTGTTAGCCTTCTTGGCAACAAGGGCACACTGCTGACTCATAACCAGCTTCTCGTCCACTGTAATCCCCAGGTTCTTTTCTCTATGACTGCCGCTTAGCCAGTCAATCCCCAGCCTGTAGCAGTGCATGGGATTCTTCCATCCTAAGTGCAGGACTCTGCACTTATCCTTGTTGAACCTCATCAGATTTCTTTTAGCCCAATCCTCCAATTTGTCTAGGTCACTCTGGACCCTATCCCTACCCTCCAGCGTATCTGCCACTCCCCACAGCTTAGTGTTATTAATGAAGATGTTGAACAAAACCGGCCCCAGGACCAACCCCCTGGGACACTCCGCTTGATACTGGCTGCCAACTAGACATCGAGCCATTGATCACTACTCGTTGAGCCTGACGATCTAGCCAGCTTTCTATCCACCTTATAGTCCATTCATCCAATCCATACTCCTTTAACTTGCTGGCAAGAATACTATGGGGGACCATATCAAAAGCTTTCCTAAAGTCAAGATATATCACATACACTGCTTTCCCCATATTCAGAGAGCCAGTTATCTCATCATAGAAGGCAATCAGGTTGGTCAGGCATGACTTGCCCTTGGAGAATCCATGTTGACTGTTCCTGATCACCTTCCTCTCCTCCAAGTGCTTCAAAATGGATTCCTTGAGGACCCGCTCCATGATTTTTCCAGGAACTGAGGTGAGGCTGTAATTCCCCGAATTCTCCTTGTTCCTTTTTTTAAAGAGGAGCACTATATTTGCATTTTTCCAGTCATCTGGGACCTCCCCCGATTGCCACGAGTGTTCAAAGATAACGGCCAATGGCTCTGCAATCACATCAGCCAGCTCCCTCAGCACCCTCGGATGCATTAGATCCAGACCCATTGACTTGTGCATGTCCAGCTTTTCTAAATAGTCCTTAACCTGTTCTTTCACCACTGAGGGCTGCTCACTTCTTCCCAATACTGTGCTGCCCAATGCAGCAGTCTGGGAGCTGACCTTATCTGTGAAGACCAAGGCAAATAAGCATTGAGTACTTCAGCTTTTTCCACATCATCTGTCACTAGGTTGCCTCCCCTATTCAGTAAGGGTCCCACACTTTCCCTGACCCTCTTCTTGTTGCTAACATACCTGTAGAAACCCTTCTTGTTACCCTTCACATCCCTTGCTAGCTGCAACTCCAATTGTGCTTTGGCCTTCCTGATTACCCCCCTGCATGCTCGAGCAATATTTTTATACTCCTCCCTAGTCATTTGTCCAAGTTTCCACTTCTTGTAAGCTTCCTTTTTGTGTTTAAATTCCCCGAATATTTCTCTGTTAAGCCAAGCTGGTCACCTGCCATATTTGCTATTCTTTCTGCACATCGGGATGGTTTGTTCCTGCAACCTCAATAAGGATTCTTTAAAATATAGCCAGCTCTCCTAGACTCCTTTCCCCTTCATGTTATTCTCCCAGGGGATTCTGCCCATCAGTTCCCTGAGGGAGTCAAAGTCTGCTCTTCTGAAGTCCAGGGTCTGTATTCTGCTGCTCTCCTTTCTTCCTTGTGTCAGGATCCTGAACTCAACCATCTCATGGTCACTGCTGCCCAGGTTGCCACCCACTTCTATTTCCCCTACCAATTCTTCCCTGTTTGTGAGCAGCAGGTCAAGAGGAGCATGGCGCCTAGCTGGTTCCTCCAGATGGACAGAGAGATATGCCAACTTCTATAGGCAATGTTAATGTAAACAGCAACATGCAAACAAAAAATGCAGGTATGAACAACACTCTTGCAAGGATCAACCACTCATTATTATTTATTATTAGAGGGGGTAAAACAGTGGTTACCATTGTTAAGGCTCAGCTCCAGCATCCACTTTCAATTGTTCCTAACTTTCTAAAAAAATGCTTTTTGGGCTAAAATTTTCTATGTTTATTCTCAACTCAGAATATTCATGGAAACTTTGATGATAATTAATTGATGCCCAATATCTTAAAAATGGCTCCATCAAATACATACTTCACAATATGACTGAGTCATAATCTGCGTCCGACACAGTGCAGCTACACACTTCCCCACACATGGGTCTTATGCCAAAGCCACAATTGACCCTTGGGTGTGTAACTTCTTTTCCAAAACTGAAATACATTGAAGAGCCTTGCAATTTCAAAACTACTTTATACTGTATGAGACATAACTCCTTCCCCTTCCTAGTATTAAATAAACCCTAGATGATCATATATATTCTTTACATTACTTTAATAGTCCATTATGTCATGCACCTCTCTGTTCTTAGCCTGCCCCCCCCCCTTCTGCAGCTAGTTACCTCTTTACTGCTCTTCAGAATTAAACTACACAGCAATCAGGGAAAGCACATTCTATGCCAATGCGGTATATTTTACAAAAAATGTGGACACAAAATGGTTCCATTTCTCTAGCATCAGTGTAAATGAACCATAACCATTTTGTCATTTTTCTTCCTGACTAATGATGTCTGGTAGAGCTCTAAATTTAAAAAGCTGAAAGAACAACATAGTCAATAATTGGACAATGATTCTTCTCCCCGGGGGAAAAGGAATGACAGGGTTTCACTCTTGGATGGTGATGTTATCTGTCATTCTGGAGAGGGAGTTTGTATTCCTAGTTGCCTTCATTCTGTTTAGGTGATGTCTTGCTCTTTCATTCCATATACAATTTTGACTTTGATCCACACACACAAATAGTGGTTTTTAAAGCAAGTAAAATGCAGGTGCAGGGTTAAGGATGAAAGTGATGAATTAAATAAACACTTAGGCTGAAAGAAAAAAAAAAGTTCTGTTTCACCAGAGGTTCACCTACTCCCAAAATAACCAATTAAAAGGAGAAGAGCTTCTCTGGAATTTAAAAGTTTGTAGCCCTAGAAATAAAAAACTATTTTTTTTTTAAAAGTTAGGCATAGTAGAAGTATCCAAACAAACAGAAAACCCACTTTCTCATGTCATTTGTCCCCTTTTTTAAAAGAAAAGACTTCTCAAGCCTGATACACCTTTACGTTTCAAAGGTACTTTGTAGTAAATCCTGCTCCCCACTCAACACCAGAGAAGGTCCTGCACATGGTAGAATCATTGTTGTAACATTTAGTAATCATGATTGTTTTGATTCAGAAAATCCCCCTCATCGCAGATAGCTAGTGCAGGCTGCTGCTACCATATCAGGAGTGAAAGTATAAAGGCTGCAAGAGTTGCATGGTCACTGGCTGCAGTGTAGCTGGATGCTGAGACAAGCATCAGTTGTGTAAGAGGTGACGTACAGGTTCTGAGTTTTAATCCTAACCCTATATATTTTAGCAACGCATGTTGAGAAATGATTTTGCAACTACTTATAATTTTATCATCATTCAGACATTTTTGTCCCTGCTCCATCCTAGACACACAGTACTCTTCTTTGAGCACAATTTACAAGGCAGGTTTTGAAATTCAGCTGTTTTTTATTCCTTTATTTTTAAAGACATGATAACAATAAGTGGGAAAACCCCCTCACCTCATTCTTGTAAAATATTTACCTCTTGGCTGAGTTCATACAAGACAAACTTTAGCCAGAAATAATTTTTCTGAAAGTTATGAGCAAGTGGAACTGAACTGAAACGTCTCCACAAATTTAACCATAGTATTTTGTTACCAAGTGTATTCTATTTTCAATGAACGTTAATGACTGAGGACTGTCAGTTGCCCTAGGAGCATTTATTATGCTCATTAGTCCATTTATGTCAATCCAGAAGTAAGAATCATAATGTTGATTTATTTAGATGATCTGTTGATGGCAGAAAAGTTATTAGAGTGAAGGGAGGAGCTCCCCATAAATTTCTGCAAAGCTACCTCATTGTTCTCCTTCAAAACCTTCCTTTTATCTCCTGTTCCATGGTGCCTACAAAAAAACTTGGCAACTGTTAAGCCACTTGTGGGCTGAAACCACTGCCGATTATGCTGACTATCATGGTCTCACTGTTTCCTCATAGTCCCATCTGGCTGTATACATCTGTTGT